TTTACTTCTAATTCTTTACAGTTACAATAAATTTGCTCAATATGGACACACGATCAATTCCATCCAAATATCCATCAAAAGTTTCCGTATCGGTATGTTAATTATTTTTTTTAATAAGAATGTTGCTATTTGACGCTTGGGAAATTTTCCTATGTAGATCGCAAGATCAGGTGCAATCTTTGTGTAATGCGAAATCAAAACATCAAAATCTTACCTAAGAATATCATTAATCTGCGGCATGCTAAATAAGTAATATGATAAACTTGTATCATATTGTCGATATACTTTTATATGAACAAAAATGTTAAAAGTCCCACGAATCATATAAACATTGTTCAAAGAATATTTAAAGGTCGCTTAACGTTGGCGTTAGTCAATAAAGATTTAACATTCAAACTACATTGAAGATTTAACATTCAAACTACATTGAAGATTTAATATTCAAACTACATTGAAGATTTAATATTCAAACTACATTGAAGATTTAATATTCAAACTATATTGTAAATTTTTCTTGATAATTTCTTAATAATGATATAGATTAGTAGGCATTCTAAAAATATATATATATTCTTTTTTTAAAGGTGATTGAATTTGAGAAAAAAATAAATAAAAAAAAAATGGAAAAATTTTTACCCAAGCTTTTCGTGAGTAACTTGTTATTCACACGATAATTTCTGTATCAATAAATAAATTTACGTACTACAGTACAGCTAATCCTTAAATTTTTAGACTATTTCTGATAGTGATAAATTTCCAACTTCAAAAGTCGGAATTAGAAAAGCGAGAGAGATAGTTCAAGATTCTAAACATTCTAATGAATCGCAAAATTATAAAGATATTCAGAAAGTCGAAATTCAACAAATTCCACGTTTTAAAGAGGCATATGACCTACCTATCTTTAGCGCTCATAATCCTGGATTTTACGTAACCAACCTTTGAAAATGACCTTTGAAAATTTTTTTTTTTTTTTAGATATCGCATCAAGTTATAATGTTTATAATGTTATCGTTCATATCAGTTTATTATTTGTATATACTTATATGTTAGGGCCGAAATGATTTATGTATATATTTATATGTTTACAACGAAATGGTTTATGTAAAGGAAAAACCTGTTATCTGCTGATTATAATTCCACGTATTAGATAACAAATTTGTTTAAATCGATACTAAAGCGTCCTTTATAAAAATCAAATGTATAAAATTCGTTTAAAATTCTCAATAAAGAATCGGGATTCTACTCTGAGGATACTTTTGTTTTCAACTACTACAGTACTTCAATTTCTAATATTTTTTCGTATGATTATTGTAAAATTATAAAATATAGCTCTCAAATACAATATATTTTTCGTGACAAAAAGATAATATAGTGTAAATTTTTCAAAAATAGATTGTCTAT